AATCAAGTCTCAAGTTTCTGGTACATTTGTTTAATTTTCCACCTTTCGTGGTTCTTCTCGCAATGTCCTATCTGGATGGTACCAGGGGAGTTGTCGGTAGTGGTTTCGTTATAGGTTCCCATGAAGGTGATTTACATTGGATTCGTCGTGTTTGGGAGGTTTATCAACGTCATCATTTCGATGCTCATTTTGAGGTTCTTCCTCTCAATCGACCAGATTTTTTAGTAAAATATGGCCTGGAAGGGTTGAATTTTCATTTGCATAATGAGCTTCCTGCTGTGGGACAAGATGTAGTAACTAAGGTTCTCGCCGATTCAGGACTCCCTTACGGTCTGTATTCAGATCTAATGGTTTATAGTTGTGTCCATGCAAATTTGTGTGAGAGTGATGAGGGCATGGTGTATGGCTATTTGATGAAAAAGCTGGCCAGTGAGGTTTCTGGATTTGCTAGTGATTTTTTCCTTGACTTGCGTTATCGGTATACCTGTTCAGGTTGTTCAGGTGGACCTTTTGTCAAAAATTATCTGACTCCAGTTGTTCACGTACCGTATGGTATTGGGTTACATGCCTTCTTAAGTCAACCACTTTATTTGGGTTCTGAGCAGGGTTTACGATGTAATCGTATCAATGAAGATTTCTTTTGCGGAGCATCTATTCGTGAGCTGGATTGTGTGACTTATGCCAATGCGCTTAAGATGTTAACCCTTGGCGTTATGGATCGTAAGGTTGGTGTTGAAAATCGTGGTCTTTGGGCCAGTGAGTCACCGAACCACAGTTGTAGCATTTCTTCACGTTGAAGTGATCACATACATCAATATATCTATTTCTGTATCTAAGCTTTCCTTTTAGAGTTGCAGCAGCAAAGTTCTTATACCTGGGCCTGTTTTGACATAAATGTTTGTAAACTGTGAGCCAGGCGGAGTGTATGTTTTATACAACTCAAATCGTTCATTCTGAAATTGTTTAACATTTCTCTAGGATTTCCGTCCAGTCTTGACGTTCCATGTTGAATATCCAGAATTTTACTAGGGGGAGCCAATAGGATGTTTTCTCCGTCTCCAGTCCAATGGCTCTGCATATTTGCTCTAGCTCGTTTCGTTTATTGATCTCTTCCATCATAATGATGCAGCGATTACGTAGTTCTGTGACTTTCTTAATCGGTCCAAAACTCGTTTCGGAGTTTTCTATTATATTTGGAATCAGGCCTTTTTTTAGGGTTGTCCTGAGATTATCAACCCAAATGCTCTTGTTGTGGATGCTTGCCATGGAAATATATTCTCACTTGCTATGTTGATTTTAAATCTCTTGATGTTCTTTGCAACTTGAATATCAAACAGTTTATGTTTGTTGGCTACTGGTTTTTTGAGGATCAGTTGTAATTTCTGATAGGAGATTTCATTATGATTCTCAGTACCCTTCAGTTCTTGTCTTGGGGATAATGGTGGTGATGCATTTGTTGTTGTAGTTGCTATCGATGTTGTTGTTGAGAGTGGTCGTGCAACTTCTCTCTCAGGTGTGCTCATGGGTGCTTCCGGGTTGTTCCTAGATATTTGCGTGGAGATGCCTTGTTCTGAAGTTATCCTGCTAGTTGCTATGTAGGCTTCTTTGTTAACCATATATGGTGTCGAGATTTGCTGAAATGTGTAGGTAAGTTTATCTGGCAGTTGGTTTATTGTGTCGTTTGATGGTGTTGCCTGGTTTCCGCGTAGTTCCTCAAAGATCCACTCATTATGGTTGCTCATGGCATCAGATTCATTAAAGTTGAGTGAGATTGGTTCTGTTACTGGGGTTGGTTCTGTCTCCGGTTGTGAATCTGGTTCTGTTTCAATACAGATATCACTTGAGATTACTACATTCTGTAGTTCTGCTACACCATTGTCGTTGATGTATACCTCTTGAAAGATTTGGGATGGAGTGGTCGTCGCATCAATGGGTTCAATTATTTTCTCGCTATGATCAGTTTTACATTTGGTTCTTAGCTTGTCACTTCTTGGCTTTCTCGGTTTAATTGGGTCCGGGCCGTACAGTTGATGTTGGATACTTCTTGGCAGTTTGTTTTTCTGAATTTGAAGTTCTTCGGGTGAAGAGGTTCTGATTATCTCTCGTAGTTTTATCAATTTTTTGAGCTTTTCAGCTCTTTCGATGGTTTTAGGTTGCATTGAAGATTGTTGTTCCGGTGGCAGGGACATAATTTGATCAATTATTGTCTCTAATCGTGTTAAGCGAATTGTGTCGATTGTATCCAGGGCTTTAATCGCCTCCGCATGACTTCGATGGTTTGAGTGTAAGGCTAGGAAATTCTATAGCTCGTCAATAGCTTCTTGGTTGAGTTCCATGGTGGGTAACGACAAGACAGAATGATTGTAGTAACAATCTGGATTCGGAGAAAGATTATTGATTAACTAAGTTGACACAAATTAAAAGGAAGTTGGCATAAGTTTAAGGATGTTATGTTATTGTTGCAGACTGAAACTTGTGTAAAGTTGAAGTGAAGTTTTTCCACAATTGCTATGTCTATTTAAGGGTCCTCACTGCTATGGGATAACCCCTGGTTTTGAATTAGAGTGAGGATAAATGACACGTTTTAAAGGTAGTATGGTAGGGATGCACATCCAGGTAGGGGGAAAAGGTCGTATCACACACAAAGGCTATTGTTTAGGGGAATAGCTATTATTGTCTTATTGATTGATTAATGTTCTGTTTTGTGTGTTTGATTTGTGTGGTTTGAACAATTAGTCTGATTTAAGCAATTGAGCGATTGAGCAAGTAAAAGTTTCAAGTGTCAAGTCACAAATGAAATTCTTGCCATTTAGTGCATTAAGATTCCATTCCATGTGAGAAAACAAATGTAGCATTGTTATGTCAATGTTACTAATGTTACTATGTTCTATTTCTCATGTTCTATTTATTTCATTATTAATGTAAAGGGTGTTGCGGATAAAAAGGAGAATTAATCTTACCTCAAATGTAGATAAAGATGACGATGACATGATAACAATGGAGATAACATAGTTGAAGATAACACAATAAGAGAAACAAAATTGAAGAAACAAAAGGTAAACGTAAACATAAACAAACAAAAATCAATTAATCGATAAATCGTCAATTTTAAATTACAAATTATGTACAAAATGTGAGCCTTTTGCTTCTCGGCACTTGTCTATTCGCTTAACAAAATTATCAACAGTATTATGGAGCATTTCAACATTAACTAATGCAAATTTTTCTACAATTAAACATTTGAGTTGATTCAATGTCTTGGGTTGAGAAGCACGAACTTGCTCGTCTACGTAACCCCAAAGGAAAAAATCTAATGGGTTAAGATCACATGATGATGGTGGCCATTCAAAATCAGATCTCCGACTTATCAGTCGAGAACCAAAATGTTGTCCCAACAATTCAAGTGTTCCATGGGTACAATGAGGAGTCGCACCATCTTGTTGGAACCATGGTAATGTTTGTCGGTCATGATATTGAGCTAAATTCGGAATGAAAAATTGGTCAATACATTCTCTATATGTGATTTGATTGACATTTGATGAAAAAAAATATGGACCAATTAAACCATAGTAACTGAGTGCAGCCCAAACATGACATTGAGGTGGATGGGCGACAAGTTGGTTGATATTTGGGTTATCAGGTTTATTTGGTAACCAAGTCCGATTATTTTGCCGATTAATTCTTCCAGTCAAAGTAAAAATCTTTTCGTCAGAGAACCAGATGTCCTTAACGTTTAAGTGTTGCAGTTGAATCATCTGGTTAATCTTCACACAAAAACTGAATCGAGAGTTAATGTGATCTTCGGTCAATTTTTGTTGTTCAGTTGGTTTATAAGGAAACAGCTTATTTTTCTTGAAAATCCTTAAAATTGTGCTTGGTGATGAATTGACAACAGCCGCTGTTTTCCTCAATGATACTTTTGGATCCTCAGTAACCATCATCATCACCTGATCTTCATTTCGATATTTTTTTATTTCTTTTTGCGTGTTTGTTTGAAATTGAACCATGTGTTTTGAAATTCTTGATCAGCTTATAAATCCCTTTATATTGCATAGTGTTGAGGCCAATATCCCTTAATTCTTGTTGCACTTTTTCAATCCGTTCAACATCATTATTGAACTGCCGGTAAACCATATAATAAGTGGTCACAACTTTGAAACGAAAAGCTTCTTTTTCATTCATTTTCACTGAAAAATCACCGAGGAAAACTATATCTACACGAGTTTTGTTTATGTTTATGTTTACCTTTTGTTTCTTCAATTTTGTTTCTCTTATTGTGTTATCTTCAACTATGTTATCTCCATTGTTATCATGGTCATCGTCATCTTTATCTACATTTGAGGTAAGATTAATTCTCCTTTTTATCCGCAACACCCTTTAATTATCTTGATTGTGAGTTATTGTATAAAGGCTTTCATATTATTCAATTTCTAGTTGAGTTCAGTTTCCAAATGTGATTCAATTTCCAGATAAATCAATTTCTAATCAGAGCTTCTCTTTCAGAGCTCCGAGCTACGAGCTCCCTCTTTGAAAAGGTTTTTTTTAAAGAATCAATTTTTTAAACTTTGAATCTTGGGACAAAGTAACTCAACAAACAATAACAAATTGCTTTACGAAATGTAGATTTTTAAAGTTAATTAAAAAACCATAGATGGCGACTGTGAAAATTGCTTTAACTGGGTACTCGAGTACAGTAGACGGCACTTATCAAAATGTATAATATTTACAATTACAAAAATGAATTGAGATTTTGCAATTAATTTAAACCTAATAATTAATCAGATTCATCATTTGCACAATTTTTCTTATTCCGGGAATGAGCCATACTTCCACTCAATCTCGAAACATGCACAATCTCTTTCTTTATCGGCCCTTTCAGGTCAATTAATTCGCAATTAACCGGGTTAATTCGCTCAACACTTCGGTATTGACCTCGCAATCTGTCCATAAATTTCTTATTCTTGCCCTTAACGAGTAAAGGTTGTTTCAGCGGCACCAAAGATGTTAACAAACAATTTTAATGGACCAATAATAAGTTTTAATAATAAGTTATTGCCAATTTTTGTGCCGATTTGTGCATAAATGTGACAATTGCGTTTTTATGTCTTTTTAGTAACAACCGATTATTAAGATTAATTTGAAAGCTCATTGTGATTAAGTGATGAATGCGATCTCTTTACAACTACATATTAATATGCTCTCTAATCATAATGAATTTACATGTGATTTTCAAGTAGCAATTATTTAATTGCTTGAGCTTTCAAATTAAATTCAGTAGCTTTTGTTTTGCCTGCAAGTTGTGAGTGAAAATGCTCAAATAACCTTTGCAGTTGTATCCATTGCTTGTGCACCTTTCAGATCTATTAAAGTCGTGTTAACTATTGATTCTGCTGACGATCCAGTTATGTAAAAGCCTGGTACTTCCTATTTCGAACTGTTCAATTACTTTGCTTAAAATTCTACCCAATCCCTTGCATCTTTCAGCAGCAACCATCAACCTGTAAAGATTTTCAGAAACATCACAAGGCGATTCACAAACTGACTCCAAATAGCGCTGAAGTAAATAAATATACAAATACTGTTCCTGCCTGTGAATACAAAATATTGATTCAGATTAAATCGTTTCTTGTCATCATACTAACCTAACCACTTCTTTATATTTAAGTCCAGGTTGATCAGGATTGAAAATAATGATGAGACTAATTAAAACATCAATGTTTATATTTTCTCTCCATTTATCTGGTAATTTTTCAATTGCTTGAATGGTTGCATCATGAAATGCCCGACTCCAAATGAAACAATCACGTCTTTCATATATTGACCCAGTCTCGTGGATCTTTAAAAATTAACACAAACAATTAATGATACATATTAATGGATATTCTTGATTCAACAGTCCAGAGAACCAAACAGTTGATCAAAAGACAAACAAATAGCTAAACTCACCATCCAACCATCAATCGATCTATTGTAATAAAAAACGGCTTTCCAAGAAATGAATTCAAACATTGTGTTGGATAAGAGTACAATTTTATCGATATTGGACAGTTTTTTGAAGCTTTTGATTCTCTTGCAAGTTGATACAAATTGTGCTGGTGAAGGGGCTAACACGGCTTTCATTGTAAAATTAGAAGGTTCAATTGTCCTGTCTTCAAAAGCATTAATCGATTGGGTTAAAATGAAAGATTCAAATTGATCCAACGATACTTGAGTAGACAAATAATTTCCCTTCAAACCCAATGGTGAATAAAAAGCAGATAATATTTTCTGTCCCACTTTTGGATTCCAAAGTTCCTTCACTTTATCATTGTCAGTATTGAGTGTTACTGCAAATTTGTACCCCATTCTGGCGAGGAGCAAAGTGTTTCCCTTTATTTTCATCAGCTCATTGTAGGTGGATTGTGGGTTGCTTTCTGTACCTTGTAACCATTGGCCATCATGGTGACATCCGTATAAATCCACTGAATTCCCATAGTCAATGGCATCTAAAGGGACGAGATTGAAATCACTATGAAAATCATCGCTGGTCTGATCGGGATAAACGCTGGTAGATAACAGGCTCTGAGAGCTGAGATAGTCATACTCCAACTGCATTGGTTCAAATTGATGGTTAATTTCATTGAGAAGTCTATATTTATCCGAATTCGTGGTATTTGATGAATTGATAGATTGTTTATTAGAGTCGTCACTATTGTTATCCTGGTCGAGGGACAAGTAATTTTTGATTGTATCTTCACTGGGAAACAAAGCTTGTATTATTGACTCACAATTTTCAGTTGATTGGCTTGAGATTATTGAATTATTACTTTCCGAATCTGTTGCACTGGTTGATGGACTTGAACAAGTTTGAACATCAAAAAATTCATCTAATTCCATGTCGATTGAAACAATTTTAAAAGGCCAATTTAATCATAATATAATGACAAAAACAAAAGCATTTCAAGACTCTCCTCCCAAGGTAATTATCAACTATCATTGTAATATTGTTATTATACTCAGTGATCGTACATGATAAAGGCTGTAACATGTGGTAAATCATTTTGCGATAAAGTCTGAATAATCTTTCGACTACATTTGGGTTATATTTACATGATTAGTGTTTGCAATTCAAGTGTTGTTGCTAAACAAATTGCAATTTTATCCAACTGTGGCTTAGTCTTATCCCTTGATTGTTCAGTTAAGGTGATCGCACACTTACTTGTTTTGAATAGATTGTAATTGTGATTAATGAAAAAAAAGATACTTTGATTGTTTAATAAATTGTTTAGTTGACAGAAAATAAATTTGCAGTTAATTTTAACACTGATCAAAGGTAGATTATACAATAAGTAACAATATTTGGTGGAGGAAGGTACAAACATTGATATTAACAGAAAGACAATATTAAGAGCAAATTTTACAAAACAAAATAGAGACACGTAAAGGCAGAAGGATGAAGATGATTGTTAGGGATGAAAGATGATCAAATTAATTGACATTATTTTGTACATTTGACTGGCAGCATCAAGTGAGTAACGAGAAAAGCAACAACAAAAAAATAATTGACGAACCAGCGCCATTAGCAAATTAAAAATATTATCTAATCTTTACCAGCGCCATAACCACCTAAGAGTGAAATGAAAATAAAAGCAGAGTTAATTATTCAGTGTTGGATGTTTTAGATGAATGATTAAAGTGAAACAAACCTGAGCCCATTCCTCCGCCCATTGAGTTACCCCAGCCACCACCGGCTCCTGATCCTCCTCCATTATTGCCATAGCCGCCACCAGCTCCTGATCCTCCAGCGTTGTTACCATAACCGCCACCGCCACCGCCAGAGTTACCTCCATAAGATGAACCTCCCATGCCACTCATACCACTCATACCACCCCAACTATCATCGTCCATCATGCTCATCATATCTGAGCCACCGTAAGAGTCCATCATGCTCATCATGTTCATCATGTCCATGCTGTTACCACCCCATCCACCACCGGAACCCATTCCAGAGGACATTCCACCCATTCCACCTTTCATGCTCATACCGCCACCCATTTGGCCTCCACCACCTTTACCCATCATACCCATCATGGAGGACATCATGCCACCCATCATTCCACCTTTTCCACCCTTTTTCATCAGGTCAATAACAAGACTGTAAACAGAAAACAAAGCGAATAGGATTTAATACTTACATGTTTTCAAGTATTTAGGTGAATTTAAGTCTAAAACCAACATTTCTCCATTCAAATCTCAATTAACAGGATTTACTATTAAAAATCGATTAAGATCAAGATGAAAATGAAAGCTGAATTTAAGGTTAGCTAAATCTGGTCAAGCTTCTTATATGTTATTGTTTTGTATCAACATTAGTTTACAGTTATTGTCTGCTTAACAACTTTAGGTTTAAAACTACATCTATTATGATCATTTTTTGGTTAATCATGAAAACTAAAGGATAATTGTGGATGGAAATAATAAATCAATGGTTGATGGGGAAATTAAAAGATTGCAAAATAAGTTAATTGTTAACTTTGGTTAAAACTTACGGAATTGGAATGGGTAAAGGTATTGGTAATATTCCGAATTTGGGTTTTTTGGTTGATTTGAGAAGAAGCAAGAGAGCAGCAAGTTTCTTGAGCTTCTTCTTCTTACCAGCGTCAACCTCGAGTCCATAGAAAGTAACTAAACATAATTGGAGTACAATTAAAGACACAAAAAATAAGCTCAATGTTTGAGCTCGACTTGTAAGACTCATGATGATATTAATGAAGGGTTAAAATGGCGAGACACAAAAAAAATGATTTTTATCCAAATATTGTTATAACTTATAGATAATCGTTGATCATATGAAATTGTTGAACTGAGTTACAGATGAAAACATAAATCCTTAAAATGTTACAACAGCAAACAAACAAACACCTTTGAAGGATCGAACCGTTATGATGGAAGTGACCAATTGATCAATCTTTTTATATCAAAGCTCCCTGAAGATGTTTCAATTGTTAAATACAACCTTGTTAAAAATCAAGTTGTTAGCCACTGACCAAATAATAGAGGGGAAAGTGGATAAGGAAGAAGAAAAGGAAAAAAATTAAAGTGTTAAAGGCTAACTTTGACAACCTTTGAATCCTTTCATTTTTCATTCAACGAATTCAATTTGACCGCCTTCTTAACACTCAACAGCCTGCCTTTAAAAAGGATAATTTTAATAAATGAATTCAGCCTATTTTTCAACCTGACCAGCTAAAACATCTTCATTTCCCAATAAAGCTATTATTTGTGTTCATCAATTGCTGAGTAAAGGCTTTACTTTTCACCATTATTATCATCTCATATTATACCTTTTACCTTAAAACCCTTCTTATTATAAAATCAACATGAGTTTGTTTTTTCTTTTGTTTTTTTGATGCTTTGATGAATGGTTAATAAGGACACGATTTTAAATCTCTTTTTCATCCGCCGTTTTAATAATCCTCTCATTTTGTCTTTAATTTTATGGTAATCATTAACCAAGAGATGATATTAATTAACCAGGTAATAAATGATTAGCCAATTGATACACAATCAAGTTCGATGATGGAGGAAATGGTCCCTGATTAAGCTCAGCTTAACCCATTGGCTCTATAAAAGTCAACGCAAAGGTTGAGATTAAAGGTTAGTAAATTTAACTTTAATCATTAACATTTATTAAATTTAATGTCATTTTCATTTGATTTACTTAACAGGTTAAATTGTGACCATTAACATGCTGATTGTTAATGCTAATGAAGGTGCTAAATGTGAACATAAAGTTAAAAGTTGAGTGGCCATAGATCGTGAGCTTACCAAGTAAACCAAAAATATGGAAAGACAATGTTAATGAATATGGAAATGAAAGAGAAAGGATTTTTTTAATACGCTGAATACCGGTGAAAAGGACGCTGATTAAGGTGGTGAAGGTGATGATGAAGAGTTGGAGGGAAGAGACAAAAGGAAAAAAAAGAGAAATGGCGAAATGGACAGATGAGGAAGAGGAAGAAAATAGTTGTATATTGGACATAATCAAGTTAATCGTGCGATGAAATGAAACATTAATTTCGTGATGAGTCTTATCTTGCACAATAACATATTTCTTTAGACTCTCAACCTCCTACAACCCTCCTCTTCACCATCATCTTCATCCACTTTCCATCGCTTGACCAGGTTTAAAAATAAGATGATTTTTCCTTCACTCTCTCAGCTCACCTTTTGGCCTAACAAGACTGACCATTTCAATGGTAATGTGATGAAAAAAAAAACACTCAAAACTGTAAATTCAATGAGCCATGTTGTTACAGCATTGAGATTGTTCACCTACAAGTAACAGTCTTTAACCACTTTAAATTGTATTAATTGAATTGGCAAACCACGATTCAATAAAAAAATTGAAAGTTGGAAAAGTCACAATAATCAGTGAATCTATTATATTTTATTTAACAATCAAAGGGGCAACAGTAATTTATTTTACTGAATGTTACTGTTGTATTGGTTATGATGATGTTTTTCAAATGATTATATTAATTGAAAACTTCCGCTCATTCATTAACGTTTTTATTCATATATTGATTTATTTATTGATGTTTATTATTGAATAAACCGATTATGTTAATCAGTTAACAGTAGAACCCATTGATTAACTGTTGTTTATAAATTCAATTTTGACCAGTATTATAATGTTCAATTATTTGTTCAATTAGATGACAACTGGGACAGCGATCATCGGAGATAATCTAATTGTGGCCAATGAAGAGCATTAAAGTTGACCAAGGATGAAACATTAACCTTGCCATTGAAGGAGGATTGATTAATGGACAAGCAAAGTGACTGTAACATTGGATTTATCATTGAAACATGGATCCAATGACCACTGGTTTAACAAATTAACTTGATGATTAAATTATTCGACTGTTGAACGGATCAATATTTTCAACTGAATGGACAAATTCATATGAATACAATGGACTGTTAATGTGTCTTAATACATCAAAATTTAATCCTTAATCTGACACATTCTTATACTTAACATATTAATCAATTTTTTTTCTTATTAATCAACAGTTAATTTTGTTGCACATCTGAATTGACAAGATTATGTTGATTATTTTGAAGTTACTTTCAATTCAATTCACTGACCTAAAAATCAGTGTGTAACGGAAGTTAACCATCAATAACAGTTTGACGTTGATCTTTGCCTCTTTACATTGAATTATATTGTTAACAGGCAAAAATTGTCAATTAAGTTCATCTCAAGTTGTTATTATTATAACAATGGTAATGATATTTAATTTGCTTATTGATGATATACACTAGCGCGGTAATTGATGACAGTTGAACACATTTGGTGTGTAAATTAAATACATCAATTGAGTAAATTATTGTTATGAAACAAGATTAGAAGAGATTCAATAGAAGCAACCAAATTATGTATAATATAAGTGTAAGATCAACAAATTATGTGACTCAATTAATGACGGAGAAATCAAATAGATTGCGAATCTAAATTACAATCAAACAAAAGAGAGCCTCAAATGTAACATTCACATTTATTTTTAGATCGATACTTCAATATTATCATTAATATTTTGCTCAGCAATTACAATTTCAATGTTTCATTATTGACCCGACTTGGTGGCAGCCTTTTATTAGTTGATTTCACAATGAGAATATCAAAATTATCAACTAAAAACAGCACTCATTCAAATTAGAGTCACTAATCAATTTAATTTACCAATTGTTAAATTTTTGCAATGATTATTTAGATGATAAAAGGAGTATTTACAACTTTAACACGTCTTTACAGTATTGGTAAAAGTGTAGAAGGAAGCTAACTTTGGGTTCTTGATATCACCGACAATCCTGGAGTCCATGAACCAGGTGAACCTGAATTTAAATACATTGCTAATATTCATGGTAATGAAGTTGTTGGAAAAGAACTCATGCTTCCATTGATACAAAAGCTATTGGAAAACTATGAAAAAGATTATAAAATCAAAAATCTTGTTGATAATATACGTATACACATTTTACCATCTCTCAATCCTGATGGTTACGAAAGATCGATTGTGAACCTTTACAAGGACGTGAAAATGCCAACCAACAGGATTTGAATAGAAATTTTCCTGATCAGTTCAAGCCTTTGGTGAAAGTGCATTACCAACCTGAAACTAAAGCTGTTTTGCATTGGACTCAAAGTTATCCTTTTGTTTTATCAGCCAGCCTCCACGGTGGCTCATTAGTAGCTGATTGACCATGTTTACAGTAAAAGTCCTGATGATGATGTTTTTAAATACCTTGCATTGCTTTATTCGTATAAACACAAAACCATGTCTGATAGCCATCCTTTCAAAGGACAATGTGGTCCTGCGTTTGAATTTTTCGAGAATGGAGTCACTAACGGAGCTAGTTGGTATATTTTGTATGAAGGTATGCAAGACTTCAACTATATCACCACCAATTGTTTTGAGATTACATTAGAATTAGGCTGTCAGAAATTTCCTTATGCCTCTGATCTTCCTCGCTATTGAGACGATAATCGAGTTGCTTTGATCGCCTTTACGGAAGAAGTACTTAGAGGGGTTAAAGGTTTCGTTATTGACTCAGATAGTGCAAAACCAATTCCAAAAGCTACAATTCATATTGAGGGCATTAACCATGATGTAAAATCAGCAGAAGATGGTGATTATTGGAGGTTGCTAACACCAGGACATTATACTGTTACAGTATCGGCTGAGGGGTAAGTCTATTCGTATATTAATTTTCTAGGAGTGCTATTAATTAACTGTAATTTAATGTTTATCTTTCAGGTATGAAAGTAAAAGTGTTTCAGTCGATGTCAGTGAAGAATGGGCTTCAGTAGTCAATGTAACTCTAACAAAACCAAATCATAAAGTCAAGGGAAAGCCATTACCGATCAATTTAAGTAAAGGAGTTTTCGGCGAAACAGTGGACTCAAGTGGCAATCCAATATCAGACGCTCTAATAAAAGTCTTAAATGATGAATCCAAATTAGATTCACTAATCAATTTACTTTACCAATTGTTAAATTTTTAAAATAAAATGATCTCGATTTTTCACAGTGACATCTTTTAAGTTTTTCAACAACTAAGTCTCTGGTTTTATCATCTGATAACATTTAATTTTACATTTGCTTATTTACAGTGTTTTTAATTGTAATCTTGATCGAAATTGCTGCTGTTCTTTACTCTTCTGAATAAATAAGATGAAATGTGATTAACTTAACCAAGGATATAAATCTTTTTCAAGCAATTTGTATCCATTTGGCCATTTTTAATCCGTTAATTTCCAATGTTTTAATCGTCTTCCTCTCTTTGGCTTATTGATAATATTAAGTTTTATAACATCTTTGGTAATGGTTTTTTCAGCTGCTATTTAGTGTTTAAGTGTTACATCGCAATTAAAGTATTTAGCTTTGATAGTTTAAGTTAAATCTTTGAATTACCGGTCAAATCTTAAGTTATAATTGGAATGGAAATGGATTGATTTGGAAGTAAACCTTTTCATACGCAGTTTCTTTTATTGAATGTTGACACTCTTCTAACAATTTAGTGATAAATTCATACGTTCAAATTGGTTAAATTAAAATATAAAAGCTCTTTTTTGTATTCTTTTTACTCCTTTAACAACAATTAGACTTTCCAATTCTGTAATGAACCACTATTTACATAATTCAGAGTCTATTAATGCTTAAACTTTTACTTTTCACTTTACACAAAGCTTAATTTTTCAATTGAGATGATAATTTAATGGAGATTGAGAAACAGTCATATAATTATTAAATTTGTTGAATTTTAATACTTATTAAAAGACTATTTTGGGTTTTTTATGTTAAACAATTTAATGTTATACATCTTTATTTACCTAATCAAGAATTGGTTTAAAATGTTTTCCTCTATTCAAACTAACAATCTGTTGGTCTTTTAAATAGCGAAGACAGTTATCGGAAAGTTTAAGAACAATTAAGCCAATAAAAGGTTCACTTGATTGTGTTGAAAAGTTAAAAGTGTTATTTGATCAGAATGTTGGAATCAATTGTTACTTAATTTATCAGAAATTTTGTTTTCCAAATGCTAATGGTTAGTTTATTTGTGACTTTTGGTCAGCTGTAGTGGAAGTTGTTTGATCAATTTTGTGAAATATGATTAGACTGAATCTAGTAGAGCAATTGAATATGAATTTCACCAACCATCTTTGCATTTAAATTGTTTAAATTGTTAAACAATCTATTTTGATGTGGAGAGGAGGAAGAGAAAGCAAAATATTGCAAACCAATATTTAACAATTATTTGGAGATGTTTTATCAGCTTATTAAATGATTGATGAAGATAATTATGATGGCGATGACGATGATTATGATGGGGATAAAGATGGCATGGTTAATGGGTGATCATCGGCCCAAAATTAAGACTGATTTTGATGAAAATTTAATTTCTTTTGCACTTTACTTTTGATGAAAAAGGCAGGAAGTTGTAATCAATTGATTATTTGTTGATCTTGTTGTTGTTTTGTTTCTTTTCATCTTTTGTATTGAGCCTCAATATTTGTGCAATGTTGAGTATGAAATATAAATGATTAAATTCAATTGGCAGCTTAAAATGAATGTAACATTAATTGTGATCTACTTTGCAGAAGAAAGTAAAACACAAAAATACATCGAAATTTAAATTAAACCAATTTCCAAGTGAAATATCGCCATAACTTTCAATTAAAATCTCTTGTTTCAATTAAGCTGAATTAGCTGTCCAAGCTTCACCAACAATGACAATTTTCATTACCAATTGAGCCTGAATTGGGATCCAAATTGATGGTGATGTGCAAATGTTTAGGTGATGGATATAGTTGTACATCAAATGGCCAAATAAACAAGTTATTAGTATTGATTGATGATTATTTTGTTTCAATCCTTGATAGATTAGAGCTTTTGTCGGATTCGAGGAACGAGTGCAACCAAATGAACACTTCCAAGAAACAAGAGTCATTTGCGCTGCGTTTTGATTGATTTCCAAATAAAAGTATCAGATATTTGCAAAACAAATAATCTAAATACAAATAATTTGTAGCTGCAAAACAGTGATTAATAAGCCCGAAAAATAATCAAATGTCAATTGGTTTTAGTTTACATCCAATTGTGTTGCTGCTTCGATCATGTCAACTTTGAAAATGCAGCTTAACAAGTAATTAAGGGTACCATTGACGATAATGAAGGCTGTAAGAAGTGATAGAGAAAAGAAAAAGTCAGTTAATTTTAAGGTGAAATGGTAAGAAGAAAGATGAAACCGAAAAGTTTCTAAGGACGTGAAATCCAGATGAGCAGTTGAACAGGGTTTGAGTGTGACGAGCAGATTGTTTTATCTGTTTAATATTCAATCTTTGAAGCGAGGAAACAACGATTGTCAAGAAACTGCATTGCCTTTAAACAATGATTTAACAAGAAATCTTCGCTTGGTTGATTGTTTAAGGGAATCAGTTAGGCTGAGCCCAGACAAAGGGTCACACAAAGGTCCTTGTCGAAGAAAACTTGTTTTTACCTTCTCTTATTTCTTGAGACTTTTCCTTTTCTTTTTAAGTTGGCTTATTTTTCGTTCCTTTTTTTTCTCTTAACGTTTCACAATTAAGCGCAAAGACCTAAAACTCAGGGTTTACCTGATTGTAAGCGTTAAAAAAGCGGAGAGAGAAAGAAAAGCTAATAGAAAGCAAGTGACAGAAGTTAGCATTCATTATTTTCTTGAAGATATGCTATTAATAATGAAAAAGGTCGAGATATATCAAGATTAGCAAAGTCTCTTTTTGTTATAAGCAAGATTTAGCGTTAGATTGGATTGGTTCAGGTAAGAGCCAATTAATTTGAAAGAAATTTTGCTGCTTAATGTTGCTCAGGTGACATGATCATCATAGCATATCATGATAGCAAAAAGCACGAGGTCAATCTCTTCCTATGTACATCTTTTTTTGACAGCCTCTTCGGCTTGATTTAGCTTTTCACTTTACTACTTGAGATTTCTTTGTTTGCCAATCCTCTTGGTGTTGGAATTTTCCTGGAATAACATGGATATAAATGAACGAATTAGTGAAAATGATGAGAAATTTTAGATCCAAAAAAGAAAAGTAAAATTGAACGAAAAAAAAAGATAAAAATCTATCACTCGAAGGCAACTCAATACAAATCAAGATCATCATAGAACTGCAAATTTTTCCCTCTCAAGTTTTATCCACTTAAATTGAATCTTTATCCTCTTCCATTATTTTCTTTATCGTCTTCTCTTTCTCTCCCTTCTTTCTTCTCTTCTCGCACACACTCCCCACTAAGTCTGAGGAATGGTGAGATTTAACTTATGCTGATCGTTGAAGGTCGTTTAAACTAATTGATTAAAGTCAGGCTACTTTTCAATATCTGAAGTTACAATGAACCTTACATCCAATGCTAATGTGAACAACGTCCAAAGATTACGTCGCCGTCGTACTGGTCATCGCCCGTAAGCAAAAACCTGTATTTCCTCTCACTCTGCATCATCATCGTCATCTTCTTTCTTTCTGTTAGTTAAATACCTGGTTAACTTTGCCCAACCTGTTACCAGGAGTGAGATGGTAAATCGATGAAATGGAAGAAGCCGAAAAGCCAGGGAAAGACTGTAAGAGAGAGAGAAGAGAAAAAAGTAAGAGAATTGAAATCAAGATGATAATAAAGAGAAGATATGGAAGAGTAAGACTTGCAACAAGTTCTAAAAACGATAAGTGGGCCTGGCAAACATGAAAAGTCTCTCTTCTCTTAAAACACAAAGAAAGAGGGGCGTAGGCGAGGCGCAATGTTGATTTGGGAAATAAATTGCGAATTGGTCATCAAATGAGGATGATAAAAATGGGTAGAGAAGAGAAGGGAAAGATAAAGCTGCTTTTATCTTTCTTTCTCTCTCTTGTCTTCCCTTTCGTAGCGACCGTGAAAATGTGTATGAACCTGAAGCGATTCTCTCCTCCTATCCTCAGTCTTGTTCATCTTTCTTCTCTTTCCTTTTTAACCCACCCTCCTTGTTCGCCCTCTTTTGCCATTCTTGTTGGATCCAGTGAAGCTCCGAGATATATAATCGACAGAATCTGAGGTCAATAACATTGAAGATCGAGCGAGAGAAACTGGAGATGAGAGTTGAAATAAAAAAAAGAGTAATGGCGAAAGAAGAGAAAGAGATGGAAAACATAAAGAAAAAAAAGAGGAGTAACAAGTGGATGATTTTCACTGGTAAATGCTTCTGATGTTGATTGTTGATGATGATGCAATGGTGAACAACAATAATTAGAAAGGGAAAGTAAACTCAATACACTTCATGAGTAAAATTATTATTTGAAAATAAGCACACGGTTGGAAAAAAAGAAAGGTAACAGGAGAAACAGCAGCAGTAATGGAAGACAAATAATACACAAAACCATAAAGGCTCAATACAAACATAGACTTTTTGTTTGAAGTTATAGATGAGGTAAAAGGTAGAAACAGGATAAACGAAATACCAGAAAAGGCCAGTTTTTTATGTTCACTAAACTATATTAACCTCAAAAAAATTAAACTCAAATGTACACCATAATTCAGATGTAAAAAAAAAATAATGAGAAAAGAGAAACAAAATGGAGACAAAAAACCTCGGCTGAAACAAAGGCAAGAAAAAAAAACCTTATTCGTAATGTTTTTCACTTTCCTTCAATTTTGCTTTTCATAAATTTAATTACATTTTACACCAACACCTAAAATCTCTGTGCACTCAATAGAAACCTTAACTAGTTGAATTTTTTGAGTGTAAACCTGAAATCAAGAAAACATGTAATTCTGTGAAATGAATTCCTATGACCATTGGAGTCAAATTGACAACGATTTTAAAGGATAATGAAGATTATAATAAAAATGAAACTGTTTAACCTTAGTCATTGTAATAGACCAATGAAATTGAGTTTGTATAATCCTGGTTAACTTTTGGTATTTATGTAACCCAAAAGTGGAACCGACTAGCTTTGGTATCGTATTTTGAGGGGTGGTAATTATGAGCCACTCAGAGTTTTCCCTCTCCATATTTTGCAAGGAATAAAGCATAATTTGCTTTCACCAAATCTATTGTTTTGTTCATTTTTTTGTTCGTTTGCTGTTTATTTAGCTGACTGATGAATCAAGTGTTAACTGTCAACTTTATTTCGCTATTTCTCATTCCCTTTTCAAAGTTTGACCATTTTACATCATTCTCTTTGTCTTTAATATCTCTTGTCCTTCACATGGGGTACAATCTTTGGACCATGACGTTTTTTTTATTGAAACACCATGACTGGATTGACGAGAAACAAAAAAGGAGATAAAGTTAACCGGACTGGTGGAAAGGTAAGAACAAGAAACGATGAAAAAAAAGGTAGCAAAGCAAAAAATGAAGAAAAGGTCGACGACTCTTATGCGTAAACCTGATCTCGACCGAATCAAACTTGTTACTTGTTGCGTCGCTTTTAAGGCCACTCGCCCCTTTCCAATCTTCCTTTTTATTCAATGTTGAAGGTCATTATAATTATCGCTGCCATATTTACCAACAATCATCATCTACCTGGTTAACTCTAAGTATATGTTAGATCACTACATTGAAAGATATTCATGCATAAGACGCGAGGCCCCTTGGGGCCGAGAGTCTTATCAATGAATATCTTTCAATGTAGTTATCTAACAAACTTATACCAGTTTTGTTGTATTAATGTGCTGCACTGGTATTAGTGCAATATACTTTTCACAAAACAATGGCTTTCCAAAAAAAAAGTGGTATAATAAGGAATAAATCATAGACCAAATTCATTTTTTTATTGCTTTTCATACATTTTTATATTCAAATAATGATATCTTCAATAATTTCGTAGCTAAGGAAAACTTGTTTCGTATAACTTTTCATATTTTTTTTCATCTTCTTCTCTTCCTTTTCTCTTCCTTTCCTTTACTCTCTTTCTTCCCTCTCTTCATTTTTTTTCAAATGAATAGACAGAGGGAAATATTCTCACTCGATTTAGCCTCTATTTCTCTTTCTTTTTTATACTCTTGCTCCCTTGAGGGAAACATTAACCCCGTCGTCGTTAGTTTACAATTCACAATCAACTAGATCATTCCTTTATTTATTTATTCCGTGAACAAATCAACAACCAATTGATATTTATTTATTCTTGCTTCTGTCAATTGACATCAGACTTCAGTCTTCCTCTTCTGTGTCTTACAGTTGTTTTGTGTTGCTCAATCAAAAACAATAATCAACAAGTGTCCATCCACCTATCTTGCTCTCCTCTCTTTACCTTTACCTCTCATTGGCGAACATTTCTTGCCTACTCAACGATCAACTTATAAACAGCTTTACTTCGAAAAATTGATTGATGTCAACCAAACTGCTGAAAATCGATAAAATTCAAAAAGTGCTCTTATTTCAAGCGTCTAAATTAATCTGGTTACTTTATTTTGGACCAACAACATAGTTGATTGTAATCGTTTTAATACAAAGTCAACTTTGTTGCTTTTATAAGCAACAAAAAAAGCTTGGTTCATAATCATCGGTCTTATTTCTTTCTATACGTTTCTTTCTGTAGCTGTTTCTTTATCTATTCAACATTTAACATTCGTAATTATTTTATCTTCACGGTGTATCAGATGTGGTTACTCATCAAAGTTCAATAATTTAATCTATGTACATAATAACGTCTCTCGTTCTGAACAAGTTCAAGTTTATTTTCACTTGACTACACCTTGTAGTAATATAAACGACTATCTTGTTAATACACACCATTTATCTATTGGACGATCATTTTGATATACAAAAGCCTCATTACAGCCTAAGCTTGTGACAATATCACCAGTGCAACTTCCATCTATTACCAACAACACTAATTTAATTTGCTTTGACAGGCTGTGATTGTTAAATTAAAATAAACTTAAATGCCGACTATGACAAATAAAGGACCAGAAATGGTTATGAAAAATTTTAAGACAGAAGAAGATGATCGTTGTCGATCATTAGTTTGTGATCCCAGTGGAATAATTGTTGCCGAAATGGTTTATCGATGTATGATTTGCTTTTACATAACCGATACAATGGTTGAGGCTAAACAGCATTATACATCAAAACATATGGATGACGATGATGACAAAGATATTGATAGGAATAGAGAATCATTCCTGGAATCAACGGACAACAATAACAACAATAATGTAACAAGTGGCCTAAACTATATTAACCACAATCACATTCTCAACAATAACCATAGCAATGGCAACAGCAGCAACAATATCAACAGACACAATCATCTAAATTCGCTGATGCCACAGTTGAATGGGCCTTATTATAAAAACTATTCTGGAGATGAAGGCCTTTCACCAGACGATGGGGACAACTACGATCCTTATTCACCATTGGTAACAATGACAGAAGGTTTGGAAACAACTAACGGAGAGACTTCACCCAATGGTGTTGGTGGCAAGAGTGGTTATGTCAATTGTGCTGTATGTGGTGTAACACGTTTTTATTCGTGTGTACAACGACGTTATGGTCAATTCACATGTGTAACCTGTTACAGATATTTCAGGACATTTTTAGTCAAACCCAAGAAATACTCTTGTCCATCATTGGGTGAATGTCTACTCAATGTACGAACCCGATGTCGAGCTTGCTGGATTAAAGCTTGTATAGATGTTTTTTCTGTAGATTTGCGAAGACAACATCTGATTGAAGAGTTTCGACCAATTCGAGCTAAACCAGGAACTAAAGGATCAGGTGCTATAAATGGAGCCCAAGCATTAACAGCTGAAGCGCTAGCAGATCTCAATTTAGGATCAGCATCAACAGGACCTTCACCTGAGGGATCAGCAGGATCCAGTAGTGGAGAAATTCCAACACTTTCAATTGCTTACAACACAAATGGAGATGGTTCTTTAGATTTATCTACATCTCTCCTTAATAAAAATGGTACAGGTCGTGCTAAAAACGAAAAGCCAGCGGCCAAAGTAAAGATTACTCCTGGTAAAAAAGTTTGGTCCTGCGGTAAATGTGCAACCTGTATGGCCGAAGATTGTGGTAAATGCATTTATTGTCTGGATAGACCTAAATTCGGGGGACCATTCATCAAGAAGCAAAGGTGTATTAAGCGTCGTTGTTTAAATAAAGTAAAAAATAAGGCTGCAAATGGTAACGCTGCCTAAAAGCAAACCAATTTTTCTCTTAGAGTCAAGAAATTTTTTTGCTGATACAATGATGTTGTGTAAATATTACATTATCATCAATATTTATATAACTTTATCTCAGGCCTTAATATTTTTGGACTTGATGCAATGGAGATTAATTCTCTAAAACTTAAATATATTTTTTTATATATACATATATTTGCTAACTGTTTGCTATAAATCTAACTACGCCTTACTAGCAATGCAGCTATAGAAACCGTGTCTTAATATCAACTTGTGTGAAAGTATATTTAAAGACATATTTTGTAATATTGGTTACAGCCACTTTGTACTATAAAATCAAATGATTTGATCAATCCACCGACCCAACTTGTCATGTAATATTTGTCCGCCTTACCTGTTTAGGGTATATCTTTCCCAGAAAGATATATTGAATTATTCAGATAAAGCTATGATTCATTAACCTGATATATTGGATTATAATATCATGATTTATATAATATTTTAAATTTATTATCATTTTGACTTAGAACGAACCCATTTGAACCTTGTAAATAACCTTCAAACCAATAATCTTTTGACACTCCAACAGAAGCAAGTGACGAAGCAATCCACCTAATCGCATCGACATTCAACTTGAAAATTCATCATCATCATCATCATTTTATGATCTTTATAAATATTTTGTTCATTCACCACCCTTTTGTAACTTTTTGATAATTATTATCACCAATGCAATCATTTTTTTGTCTTTATTTAAGTTTTTATGTATCTTTTACTGTAAAACATTATTTCCATGCATTTTATTCCCTGTATTTTACATTCTTATCCAAATAAACTGTATCCACTAAAATACTGAATGGTTTTTGGATTAGTCTCATGTTTAGCAAGAATTTAAATGATTACATTGAATATATGAAATTGCATACTGATCAGCTTAAATTTTTGTTCAAGGAAGTTAATTCGAGCGTCTTTCAGCTTTCAAGAGCAATTTTCAGCATTCAGATGTAACCAGAAACCAGATTATTTCTTGATTTATCTCGCTTCTAAAGCTGACCTTTTAGAGAGAGAGAGCTTAATTTTTTCAGAAGAAACTTAAAGATTTACCATTTTAAATCATGTCCAACGATTTAATGGAAAAACAAAAATTTACTCCAATTAAAATGTACGTGAAATGAAGCTAAATTGAAATTCCTACATGATTTAGCAAAAAGTTAACAAATGTAACGCCCGATTGTTAAACCCTTGAATGTCTGAGTAACAGATGTAGACTAAAATTATAAAATTATTTAACTGTTAAACTCAGAAATCCAGTTTTATTGAGCTGAAAGAAACGATAAAAACCCAAAAAATTACAGCTAAAGACTCGAAATAAAGCAAAAATCTTGCGTCAAAAGGCACCCTAGGCTAGGATTCACAGTTCTTCAAAATTGTGTATAAGCTCTTCAAAATTGGCGGTAATACAATGATGAAAGGCATTGCCATAGTTACTTCCCTTACAAAGCAAAATTATAAATGAACTTAATTAGCACGGAATTAATTTCTAATCTAATAAAAGAGCTTTTCTCTCATGATATTAATGATTTCAATAATTCAGGGTGAATTGATCTGATTTGAATGGATTGTTAAAATACCTTAAGGTGAAATATTTTCAAATTTGGGCGGGTATGTTTTATGTTGAAGGACTTAATTATCTCCTTGGTTACCTATAGGAAACGGAAACGAATTCTGGCCAAAAAATTGTAAGGGATTAAATTTTAGCTTTCACATGTTGTGGTATTAAGCCTGATGTCAACTTGAATATTTTTTGCTTGTTAAATTGTATAAAAAAGTAGCATATTATTAATTGAATTGTTTATTTACTAAGTTCATCATGCAACTTATAATTCGTGGAGAAAAAACCTTCGTGTTTGAAGGAGATAACATCGATGATTTACAAGTAAGTACAATGTTTGTGATTTCCTGGTTTAGTTGCTTATTCAGATGCATCTATACGTAGTTATTGATTATTGATAATTTTAACTAATTTATTTTATATTTTGTGTCTTTATAGGAATATATTGAAAATGAACAAGATTTGCCTATTGAAGATCAAGTCCTTTTCTGTAAAGGTAGAATAATAGATGATTTCAACTGGAATGAAGTTGAAGACGGTGATGAAATCCAAGTAAATGGACGTCTCCTTGGAGGTAAAGTACATGGATCACTTGCTCGAGCAGGAAAAGTTAAAGGTCAAACACCAAAGGTAGAGAAACAAGAAAAGAAGAAAAAGAAGACCGGCCGTGCTAAGCGTCGAATGTTGTACAACAAACGTTTTGTGAATGTAGTGCAAGGCTTTGGAAAGAAACGAGGACCCAACACCAACCAATAGATAATAAATTTGATTATATCTCATATTTGTATTAAATCAGGTGCGTACTAGTTGATAGGGCCAAAAACCCTTTCCCAATATTGAAGAAACTAATTTATATTTCTTTTCTTTATTTTGGAACTATTGACTGGCACTCACAGGCTCCACGAATTTGGATACACTTGACTCGAAGGATATTATCACTTGTAACTTATAAAATAATTTCCTGAGAAAAAATGCTGTTCAAATAAATTGATAATTCAATTCATCAAAATTTTAAGTCATTTCGCGATTCAATATATCAGAGTATAAATGATGTGTGAATGAAGTCAATCGTGAAGTAAAGCATCTTGAAAGACTACAATTGATTCGGTATAAATGGATTTCCATTTCTCTGAAGTCTAGTCCATCTTATCTTATACCATTCGTTCAGTTGTCTTCAAGTAATATCAATTTTGCTTGTAATAAAAGCTGCGCTTGTAAAAAATTATTTATCTTTATGTGCTACGAAAATAGAACCACGACTACAATTTGAAACTCGACTGATTAAAAAGTCAATTTATTGTGGAGGTAACATATGTTGTGATGGTTCTCAATTTTAAAATCTTAGATTCTGTTAATCCGAATTCGACTCGCAATTTGAAAATATTTCAACTTTTAAAGCAATTTTGAAAAGTGTATTTCTGATATTCATTCATAATAATCTTAAAAGTTATTGATTTGAGTCCATTAATAGATAAAGTGAATGCACTTTAATCTAGTGTCGAATTTCTTATATAATTGATTTAAAGAGTGAATACAACATCGACAGGCAAACTTTCTAACATTAATGTATTTTCCATCTGATTTGGTTCAATCAAACATCGTTTTCTTGTAACCAACGAACCAACTCCAGTAAATAATCGTTCAGCGGGAATAGCGGATGCAGGGATGCAAAGATACTTTTTAGCTATTTTATGAAGTGAAGGGAAAAGAGTTTTATGATGCTCCCAAATTTCAATTGGATCTGATGTGATATTAAAAGTTCTGTGGTCAAGGTAGTTTCTCAATTCTGCAGCTATTTTGTTGCTATCTGGCTCACTGCAACGAGAACTCCTACTTACTCTTCGCAGACACCATATATCATCGTCTCTTTGATCTCCTTGATTTCCTGAATCATCTATAGATCCATCGTCACAAGTAAGCATCGAATTGAGCTTGTTTATTGCTTTTACTGATTGTGTATCATTTGTAAAGTCCAAATTTTTAAACCTTGGATCAAGTAGAGTTGCTATAGAGGCAATAGGATCTCCTTCGATGTCTTTGAAGTGCGTTCTTATGTTTTTCAATAGAGAGTTTTTAAATTCTTTCGCACAATTACTCTCAGGTAATATCAAGTTGATTGCTTTAACTAACACACCAACTATTGGAATGATTTTACTCATTGGTGTCCATTTTTCACTGCTCATTTCGTCTGCGATTTGATGGAAAGGCTTGAGAAGAGAAAGAGTTTCTTCTACAACTTTGGCTTCGGTATCATTTACACAAGGACCATCAAAACCCATGAGTACATTGCTTATGAGAGAAGCTTGAGTTATATATCGGTCCAGTAGTGAATAAAGACAACTCCAATCACTTTCATCGGTTGATTTATCATCTAAAGGAGAAACTTTCACCACTACAACTTTATCTCGTATAATTGATTCCTGAGCGGCAGTTATTTCATCGAAAAAGTGTAAAGTTTCTCGGACCTTACGAAGTAATATTAATAACTCACCATTACTTCTAATTGAATCCCTTAGCATTGCGTCGAGCGTGTGTGCGAAACATTTTTGGTACTTGGTAGCGTCAAGTAAATCTTGTAAAGAGCTCATTAAGCCTGTAATATCATGAGTAACAGCACAAGTTATTTTTTCAGATGTTATGGCCCATCTATTTAAAATATCCATAACGGCAGATCGAAGCTCATCTGTTGATATTGTAGGATTAGGTAATTCTCGATTTCCTATTACGATAGAACCATGCGATGATCCATCGATGAAATGGCACGTTAGGGTAAGATGGCTATGTTGAGTTAAGTTATTATTCCATATATCAAAAGTTAAGGCTAAATCTTCAACTTTTGAAATCTTTTCTGCAATATGAGTTAAACTTGTTTGATATTTGGCTTGTAGTTTTTCGACTATACTGGGCTGTGAAGGAAAAGGTAAATGAGGGGCTAATTCAGATAAAAACTTTTTAAATCCTTCGCCAATAACAATCTCTTCTGGAAGCATATCCTTTGCAAGCCAGCTCGCAATCCAATTTATAATCAGCTTCGATTTATCATCTGTAATATAATATTAAAAATTAAAACTCGAATCCAAAAGCATAGGCAAGACGAAGGCAAATCTACACATAATCTTGAAGATATATTTACCATCAGTTTTCATCTTCTTAATTTGTTGATCACTCATGGAATCGGGATGTTCAAGTTGTAAAATCAATGTTGGTTGAGAAATGTCCGGTTGCGGTACAACTGCCTGTTCGGTACTGGCTAGTTGCTGGGGTAAAAGGTTGTGAATGTTTCTTAAATGAGCAAGAAAATTTGAAGTATTCCCGCATTTCTTGATTTGTTTACCACACAGTTTACATTGTGCTTTATCGCCTATGGTAGCAAAATAATTCCAAACATGCGAGGGTTTTCGTTTGTACATTTTTAAAGTAGATTGTGAGTACAAATCGAATAAATCAGGCTAATAGTAGGTGAAAAAAGACAGAATGATTGACATAATGCAAAGCATCATACGTTATGTTATAGAGAAAAACAAAGTGATAAGAAAAAATATTAGTTGATTGTAAATAACTTACTTGATTTTAATTAATTAACTTAAATAGTTTGAAGTTAGTCGATCTGAGTTATCGATCTCTATTAGATAACTAAGTCGTGAAAGGATAAAAAATCAAAAAAAAATCAGCAGAAAATCAATTCGGAGCCGCCATTCATCCATCCATTCGCTTTGTTTCATCCAGTTTTTTGAATCGATACTATCAATCGATTTGTAAGGGAACATATACTAAATTCAGCAATTAGCAGAAGCTCAGAAATAGCATTTGATTAATAAACGTATTGATTAAATAGTTAAAGACAGAGCTTCACTCATAATATGGCTTTTAAAGAATCTTGAATCAAGATTAGTGATTTATTGAAGAAAATCAGAAAATATGAATATAAATTAGTTTGATATCAATAGGGTTTATCGCTGGACATAAAGATTTTGGTTTCGTTTTTAATGCAACAGATTATTTTATTTTAAATTTTATTCAAGTATCTGTTGTGTTTACGAGAAAATTTCTGTTGCTGGACAACAGAATTTATTGATATCTGAAAATATTACCTGAGAAGGTAGATATCATTATCTTAGATTGCTGAACGGTCCCTAAGAAGTCCAAAACATGAATTTATTTTGACCGAAACAGGTTTGACAGCTTAAGCTGTCAAGTTTCTTAATTTTGTTTGAATTTTTGATACAACTTAAATAACATTAGCCATGGAGCAATTAATGAGACTCAATTCCCAGACAAGTGGACGTGACAAGATACTGAGGTAAGTTGCTGAAATAATCCACAGATCAATGTGTAACATTTGTTAGATTATTGGCAAATCTAACTGCTTTACTATTTCATCTCTTTTAGACTCTGGCAATTTACTTGTCGATTAACCTGGGCTGTGATGGAAAAAAGATCACGAAATATGGAAGCCATTTCTCGTCTCAAGGAAGTTGAAGGCTTAATCAGTTTTGCTAGAAGATGTAAGAATTAATCTTACTGGATTTATCATATATTCTGATTTTATCCGTGTCAGTTTTTAACTCTAATATTCTTTCTTTCTCTTTTCAACTTCTTGCTCATTGGATCATGATGTTATAGTACTTCGATTGGGACGGAGTGTTGATATGCTTTACTCATCAGTTTCGAGTTTACAAATTTCTGACCCCTTCCTGAGAATGGTCATTACAAGCTCACGTATATCTTCATCTTTGTTTTTATTTGCCGATCACCTGGTTTGGCTGAAAAAAGTAGGTCTTTTGCAAGTTGATGAAATCAAATGGTCCGATACAAGTAATCGATTCTGGTTGTATTCATCAGTACTCAATCTTCTTCGCGATTGCCATGAAATTAACATTATGATTAAAAGTGAACAACGCATGAAAAATCTTAGACCAGAATTGGGATCAGTAGAATATGTGACTGCTGTTGCTCAAATCTTTATTAAGCACAAAAACATTACGATTGACACAGTGAAAAACATATGCGATACATTGCTTCCAATGGCTAATTTGGGTCATGTCAAAGTTTCACCAGCTCATGTCGGATTACTAGGAATTATCTCTTCAACTGCTGCAATGTTACAACTGGTTGATCCATCCAACAGATTGGCCATGGCTTAAATATGCTATAGCCTGGATTCAATATTGTTTAATTTCCTGTTAATAGTTCATCAAGGAACTCTCCTGCAATACTTTTATATAACTTTATACCTCTATGTCTAATAGAAATGTGTTTAAAAACTGATTGTTTTGTTTTGGTTAAACTATTAAAAGCATTTGAAAAGGCTGTCAAGTAAATGTTTAACTAATGCCTTTTAGTACCATTGAGAGGCTTAAAAAATTGACATTTCCAAGGTATCTATCAATTCATTTATTTTTCTCTGAATCTAGAAATCGCACTCAATCTTTTCAATAAATACTCAAGAAAGAAAAGCTAATGAAAGATAAAATAACTAAAAGTGTTATATTAGTTGCAATAGTTAAGTGTAACTTGGTACTGACCGTGTGAATGATTGTTATTGAATTAAGTATAAACTTTCATAAGGTTTCGATAGCTCTAATTGAGGAAAACCTTAAGTCTATTTTTAAGTGTGAAAATTGGCATTTGGCTGATGTTATAAATTGATAAAAACATTGCGATATTGAAATTTCCATCAAAATGTATTAATTTATGAATAAACATTTAATTGATTTATTTGGTATCAGATTAGATTTTATCCAAGTCAGAAGAGGATAAAATAATTTATGAAGCTTAACATTATTATTTGTTTGAAGGTAATTAAACAATTGATAAGGTGAAAAGATTCGTGCATAGTTATAGTTGATAAAGAAAATCGTAAAAGATCTTTAAAATTTTAAGAGAAATGAGACCAGTTGATCAAGTTGAATCTTATTCAGAGAATGGATCTGAATTTGTAGATAAAATGATTGGTATAACGATAATCAATTGTCTCCATTTACTGGGTCGGACTCTTCGTCAGGCTCTTTATCTTTAACTTTGTCGTCTTCTTTGTGTTCTTCCTCAGACTCTTTGGGTTTCGATGGAGATTCTTTGAGTTTTAAAAATTCTGGTAAAATATCTTCTTCACTGGCAGTCTCGAAATCAATCCAATCCTTGAAAATGAAAAAAATAAATGATTCAGCAATTAATATAGTGATTCATCCCGCGACATTGAAAGGAAATAAAGCAAAAACAATAAACACTGATGAATGTAAATAAATCCAGGATATCCTATGATAAGGCATGAATTAGAATCTGATTATTATCATAGACATTTCAAATGCTCATCATTATGATTAATAATTGTTACAAAGTGGAAAAATGCTCTAATAAAGTCATATTTCAATCAATAGTACCAATAAGGAGTTTTAATGGAATCATGAAAGACAATCAGAAATTTAGATACTCGACTGGAAAAAGTGAGATCAAATGTAAATAAAAATAAACATTCTATAGCAATGGTGAAAATTCATGGCTGACAAGAGAGGCTTTAAATAAAAGAGAGATGTCCCTGTTTTATAATTAAACTAATTTTATGCTTAACTTGATCCATATTGTATGATTCTACGATAAAAATAATGTTCACCACACCTCAGCAACTCTTTATCCTTTTACTTGAACTTGTTGATCAGATAGAACTGAGGAAAAACATATGCGTATGCTCTAATGAGAAAACATTGAGGTTTCATCATTTGATGTCCGATAATTACAGAATTAAACTTACCCCACAGTACTCATCATCATTGAAAAATTGTGGTGGAAGAGCAGTTTGATCATTTCTTCTCTTACAAACTTCCTTCATTAGCTGTTTTTCCGCCTCAAATCCAGGTTCTGTGACATCAATTTTTTCATATTCAATTCTAAATGAGTCGAGGATGAATTGTGCCCGTTGCTGGTGTTTTTTTACCTATGAAAACAAGAGAATTACGAATTAGAATCAAAATATAAATAAAGATGATAGAAAAATACACAATTTAAACAAGATCGAACTGGTAACTGTAAAAGTGTCTGTTGATAAAGATGAACATCTCAAAATAAAACAAAAACAAAGGTAAACATATCAATACGAGTTGAGATTGGTGTAGCAAGTCAGTCTTGATTGTAAATTGTTTTGATTACTCACCTCTTTACTAGCTGAGATACCACTAACAAATATTTTAACAACCATGGTTGAAGATTGACTATTTAGAAATAAATTATGTTTCAAATTGAATGGGAAAAGTGCTAATGAAAAAAAAGAAAGGACTAAATGAAATGGAAAGCAGGAAGAGTAAAAGTAAACAACAGTGCTGCTTCCAAAGAGACTTCACATTAACAGAGGGTGTTGATCTTTACCTCATCAAACCACACAATTATAATTATTAATAGAATTAATGTTATCAAGTTCAGTTTCTCGGTCTCTTTATTATTAACTTAATTTGGATAGTAATAAAGAACATTTTAATTGCATGATTTATACAGAAAAGGGCAATATTTAATTGTACATCGTAAATCTGTTACCAATATACACAATGAATCTACTGAAGGTATGAGACAACCAATATTGATGATAATCAATCATTTTTTAAATAATCTATCAAGATAAAAACAAATCGTCTATGAAATAAGATTCTAAAGTTTAATCTTCATCTTCAAATTTCCTTGTTCGTGGAAGGCATGCCATGAAATGAGCAGCATAACGATGTTTGGGTGGTGCAACGTATTTTTTCCACATGAAGTCATCCCAATGGTCAGGTTTTGTTTTACCTTGGTGTTGAAGAAGTTTACTTTCTTGGTCCTAGAAGAAGAAGATATAGAAAAATTGCAACATGAAAATCAGATATTTTGAATTATCGATGAAAACTTTACCTTTGAGATGTATGGCTTTGCCAAAACATTCATAGCCTCTTGCGTTGCCGATAATTCATAGAAGAAATCTGCTTTAGTGCCAGTCCAGACAGGCGGAACCCAACGAGTTTTACTGATTAAATTGAAAAGATAAAGAAAATCAATTTAAATGATGAATGGAATGAAATGAAATAATCCGAGCCGAGATGTATCTTAAACATATGATCTCGTGTTACAGAAAAACATTAGGTTTTATTAGATTAGACTAATAATTATTACTCACCCTGTTGTGACTTTTCCAGGATATTTAGGCATAGGGCCAATGTAAGCTCCTTTCCATTTTAATAATTGATTAGTTAGTCTCATTCTAATTCATCTAATTACAAAAACTGATTAACAAAATAAAATTGAAAGAAGCAGGATTGCAGTTTCAAGACCAGATTGTTTCTGTTGTATACTAGCGTTATTTCTAAACGACCCCTATACATTAATTAAATTTGTCTACTGCAGTCAGTCATTTAATGATCCAATTTTAATTTTCATCATTTTAATTTGTTTCAATTATTTTATTGTTTATTCAATTGTCAGTTCACTTAGGTAATCATGCAGCTTATCATACGTGGAGAAAAAACCTTGGTGTTTGAAGGGGATAACATCGATGATTTACAAGTGAGTTCAATTTTTAAAATTTCGTATTTGTTTTATGGCAAACTAAATGGTATATTTTGATCATGATATTGCTTATGTTTGAATTGATTTTATTGATACAATCGATAATGAAGCATATTTTCATTTTTCGCAGAGATACGTCCAGGATGTTGAAAGTCTACCCATTAGGAATCAAATCCTTTTCTGTAAAGGTAGAATAATAGATGATTCTAATTGGAATGAAGTTGAAGACGGCGATGAAATTCAAATAAATGGACGTCTTCGTGGAGGAAAACTAACCGACAGTTCCGACTTAGTTGACAAAGACGTAATCAATGATGTAACTAAAGATATTATAGAGAAGATAATCGGCAGTAACTCCTATCAACATGCAAATGTTGAACAATGGACAACGAGCATCTGTAGCGATGTTATTGCTAATTTAGTACAACGCGGATGGCCTTATAAATTTATCGCCACTTGTACAATTGTGCAAAAAACTGGAGCCGGTTTTCACTCATTTACAAGCTGTTATTGGGATCAGACAAATGACACAAGTTGCACTGTTCGCTGGGAAAACAAAAGTATGCATTGTATAGCACAAATTCTTGCAATAAGATTGTAGAATAAATGTAAAAATATAACTTCATGGACGTTTCCTTCAAAGCTTAGTAGTCGAAAATTACTACCTGAGTATTAACCTATCATCAGCAACAACTTTTGACATTCAAGTAAACATTTAAATTCAAAATAATCATCATACATAAACGCGATATACATCTACAACACCTTATCTACCATTTAATAAAGCGAGTAAAATTACATCCAATCAAATTTACACATTATTGATTCAAAAATTTTGTTTATTCCGGTATTGGAATTTTGGTTAGAAACAAAATAGCTAATGAAGACCTGACTCAACCCGACTATGATATTATCAAACTAAAATTGCCTTCAAAATAAGTTATTTTATATGCTTCAAGAGCTTCTAATATGCATGATTGAATCGAATGAATCGCCATAATGAATCCTTGATAAATAAGAGAAACTACATTCCTATGTAGGATTACGAGATATGCGATAGTTTTTCATTTTGATCATTGAAATCAGAACTCAAATGCAGATCATAACTGAGGACACCACCGAAATTATAGAGGTTTAGGGCTGCTCTAGGGCCCTTTGAATATCGGAATAATCGCGAAATGACATGAACTTTTTTTGAGTTGAATTATCAATTTATTAGAACAGCGTTTTTCCAGGAAATTGGTTTATGAGTTACAATTGATAATATCCTTTGAGTCGAATGTATCCAAACTTGTGTAGCCTGTGAGTGCCAGTCAATAGTTCCAAAAAAGAGAAAAAATTAAAATTAGTTTCTTCATTACTGAAAAATGGTTTTGGCACCATCAACCAACACCCACCTGATTTAATATAAATATTTAGATAAAATCAAAATTATTATCTATTGGTTGGTGTTGGGTCCTCGTTTCTTTCCAAAGCCTTGCACTACATTCACAAAACGTTTGTTGTACAACATACGACGCTTAGCACGACCGGTCTTCTTTTTCTTCTTCTCTTGTTTCTCTACCTTTGGTGTTTGACCTTTAACTTTTCCTGCACGAGCAAGTGATCCGTGTACTTTACCTCCAAGAAGACGTCCATTTACTTGAATTTCATCACCGTCTTCAACTTCAGTCCAGTTGAAATCATCTATTATTCTACCTTTACAGAAAAGGACTTGATCTTCAATAGGCAAATCTTCTTCATTTTCAATATATTCCTAAAAAACCACAGAAATTGAAATAAATCAGTTAAAATTATCAATTATCAATAACTATGTATAGATACATCTGAATAAGCAACTAAACCAGGAAAACATCAACACTATACTTACTTGTAAATCATCGATGTTATCTCCTTCAAACACGAAGGTTTTTTCTCCACGAATTATAAGTTGCATGATGAACTTAGTAAATAGACAATACAATTAAAATTAAATGAGAAAGCGAAAATCAAAAGTGATAAAATTAAAATCAATTTTACAAAAGTGCAAATTAGCAAAATGAGTCGTGAAGACCTTCTAGAGGGACCGTAGTCTAATAACGACAGCTAATGAATGAACATTTCCCTTGAAAAACTTTGCCTTTTATATCTGATACAATAATCATCTTATTTGTGTCTAAAAAATTTTAATACGCTTTATTATTAGCATTGACAAACTCCCAAGATGAAAAATCAATAGTAAACCATTTACATTAAGCGTTTGCCTTTGGCATATGTGCCTTGCTTCCAGATTATCCTCTATCTATTGAATCAACTTTAATCCATCGATTTTTACTCTAACTCTTCACTAATAGTCACACGATAAGAGAAAGTAAAAGATGCAATTTTGTCCAGATTCTGGAGTAATCTATGATAAACCTTGATAAGATCACTGACAATCTCGAAAAATAAGAAACATACAGAATTCATTGTTTCATAGATTGTTCGACAAACTATCTTACAATTGTTAATTCCAATTGTCAACTTCTTTGTCAGCTTGTAATTGAACTTAAATTAACCTCGTCATCGTAAGTGCAGCTTAATCAAAGCAAAGAAATTAAAAATTCGTCATTTTTTTGTCTTTTCAAGCTTAGACTGAAGATCTAGATAATAAGATTTAAACTTTGTTGAATGGTTCAACATTCAGATTGGCTAATAAGAAGATTATTTGATAAATTGCTGAACAGTTGAACATAAACGAGCAAAGCATTATTATAATACAAATAATACAATTAGGGTTTTAATTTAACACATTTGTTTTAATATCTTGATTAGGATACTTTGATTCGAACTAACTATTCTTGGTTTATATCTAATCAAATGTTTACATGGTTCTAAGTAATCATCTATAAACTTGAATAAGAATGACTTCAAATGGTAAACATTCATCCATGAGTATTTGCTACCAACTGGTTATCAGGTTATTATCGGTAAACCTAATTATATCCAATTGTGTGATTAAAGGGTCACCAAGTGAAGGAAAATTTATCATGGCAGATAAAGATTATTATAATATAATGTTAAATGGGTCTGTTTTATACAATGGAACCTTTCTTACAACAGTAGGAACTCTGGTGCAATTTAAAAACGAAAATGTTTATTTTCCTCATTTTAGTAGAGTCCATCAATTTGGTGATACATTTGTAATTGTCAGGGAAAATTATTTAGCTTTTGCACAAATAGATGGACTCAATCTAACGGTATTCTGTCAAACTGTGTTACCCCCGTTTAACAATTTAAAATATTACTTGTTAAATCACAATCCTATCAATGGTTCTTTTGGTTCAACTTTAAATTATTTTGGAAACGCACAAAATTTTGTTGAGTTATTTCCTTATAAAATCAGCAGCTGTTCACCAACTACTGTCACCACCCCACCTTTCGGTTATTTATCTCAACGCAACGGAAACATTTTCCTCAAACATTATCCAGTTACCTTTATTGGTTCCTTTAAATTTAATAATTTTACCTACACATTTAAAGTTCGACATGTTAAAGGTTTCGAGATTATTGTTGGACGAGTTTGCAATTTACTTGACTTCCAAAAATTTGACTTATCTTATACTTCACTTTCCGCATATTGTCCATTCACATTTACAAATTCTAGTTATGGTTCTACTTTTGTATCCTTCTCCAAGTCACAATCAACCGTTTACATATCTAACAGTGCTTATATATGGTTGAGTGTTTGTACCCTCAACCTGACGGAAATAGATATCAAACTGAACCAAATACGCCACGATTGTTCCCAAGGAAGCTCTACAATCTATACCGGTGTTGTGACAAGTCAAATTCCCAATCTTTGCCTTCCAAGTCCATCTGTGTTTATCTGTGACAGTACCTTCAATGGTACCAATGGAGCCATGTATTCCAATGCTATCAACGTTACCGGTAACATCATTTTGAGACAAAAACACGACGTGTTAGACCCCAGTCAAGTAATTTACTTTGAGCGTAAATTCCCCAATCTGCCTGGTCTGATCATCGTCAGAACGCATTCTCAAAAAGTAGATGCATTTAAGATCATTGATTTGTACTACGATGATAATTCATCGCCCTCATTTAAGGGTTCCCGAAGCAAAATAATTGGCATGTTCCAAGGCTTAGATCCTGTCAGTGGACGGGCTTATTATGAAATTAAAGGAAATATTAAATCTGTGCCTTTGTATAGATGTGCAAACTATGAAAAGACAACATGTCTCTATTTTCCTAGGTGTAAACTTTGTAGCATAGGATGTAGACCGATCAACGTATCTTGTAAACCAGAGGAAAAATTTATAAACGTAATTGAACCCGTTCTACCTTTTTATGCATTTTCCAGAGGCTCAGTGGTTTCACTTAAACCATACAATAAACTGATTCACGAGATTGGAGCTTACCAAATTAGATTTATATCACAATCATTGTTAATGATCGACTGTACCAATCCTATCACCAAGGAAGGCCAAATTGAATGCCAAACAGATTCTCTAGAATCATCTATTCCTTTCAATACTTCTTTTGATGTTTCTGTCAAGTTAACCTTTCAAAACACAACCAGATCAATTACTCTGGCCGGGGAAAACACTTTACGAATCGTTGATCCCCAATATAGTGAAATCATACCAAATTATTTATTTCCATCTCATCCAAGTGGTTTTCAGATTCGATTCTCCAGATTTTTCCGTTCTCTTGGCCATCAAATCCAAATTTTTCTTGGTCAAACCTCATGTGTGAAATCCTACGATAACCAATCAGATGTTATTCATGTTAATTGTACTTATTTTGGTTCACCCACTGTGGCATCACTAGTTGCCCGTGTAAGAAGTAAAGACTTATTGAAATTAAGCTTCAACATTCTGCCTAAACCCACCTCAATCAGACCATTGGTACAAAGCCTATTTCCTAAAGCGCAACTAGCTTTTCCTATTATTGGAAACAACATCAGATCTTTTTTTCATCCAAGAATGGCATTTCGTTTAAATTCCGATGTTTCTGAGTTTAAAAACTGCAACTTCAGTGGTGACGGAATGATACTTTGTGATTCTCCATCTCTTGAACCATTTAACGCTAAATTACCATTCACTCTTGAAGTTGTCCTCGAAAGCCATGGAAACGTTCTCAATGTGTCATCACCAATCACAGTGAAGATGGGTAAACCACCACGCATTAGAGGAGCAGAGTTTGACTTGGATCAGTTTAAATTGTTCCTTAGGATGCGTAATTATTTCTCCTACTTTGTTAGCTCTACTAAAATACAGATCATTGATCTAAAATCGGGACGAGAGTCAACATGTTCGGCCATTTCCTTTTCATCAAACAACTTGGAATGTGAAGTTAATGAAGACAATGATATATCTGGAAGTGTTTTAAATGTTACACTAACCGTAGCTAATTATGAACAAGCATTTACTAATGTTCCCGTTTCTTCGACTTTTGTTGCAATCAATTTGACTTATATATTTGTTCTCGCACTTGTTGTTGTTGCTACTATTTTTTCAAATCATGCTTATCGACGTGCTTTTATCAAGAAAAAATATCAAAAAAAGGTTCTTCCTAAAGCAAAGGTTCTTCCTAAAATAAAGGTTCTTCCTAAAAAGCAGGTTCTTCCTAAAAAGAAATGATACAAATTGTTACTTTATTGATTATATTAAAATTTAATGAATGATGATTTAATAAATAATGTACATGAATTTATTGATGAGAGAGGAACATGTTTGGTTTTAAGTAAAGCATAAGAATCGCATGATAACAGCGTTATTAGATCATGTATCTGGTATTTTGAATTTAATTTTCATTCCGTTTAATAGATTGGTCAGGCAAGAACATTGATGTCGTCTATTGAGAAAAATGATGCATTGACCGGCCTTTTGTAGGACAATTTAAACGGTGCTGTTGGTATTTTGTGTTTTGATTGATCTCGGTTTTCAAATTTGTTATTTCGATACTTGATGTAGCCCCATGTTGAAATTATCACAAACTGAATGGTTAAAAAGATGAAACATATGACTACTAAGCTATTAATGTCGACGCAAGTTTCAAAACCATCCTGTTTACCGGAACTTCGGGTGTAAGCATCAGAATCGTATAGCCAGTGACTAGAAGAGTGTTTATTTTTTCCAACTCTATTATCATTAAGGTTTTTATAATTATTATTTTTGCTGTTAGTTTTATCATTTGACTCGTCCAAAGATGAATTATTTGGATAAGTTGACAATTTAACTCTTTCATCTTCATTATTCTCGTTTCCTCGTCCATTTTTGTGAGGAAATTTATCAACTATCTCAATGGTTTGAATCACTATCAACTCGGAATCGCTAGTATTTGAACTTGATCCAGAACCTAAGATGGATGAACTCCTCTTTCGTCGGCCTAAAGAGGTTATTTTTCGCCGAGTACCATCAAATCCGGTTGTTGCACAATGAACAGGTTCACAGCTTGGAAGACATGGAACAACAAGAGCCCGGAATTGAACGATTCCGGAGGTTGGGAATTTAAATGCTTCAAATGGTGCTTCAACTGATTTTGATGATCCTTTTATTCGGCGTACTCCTGACATTATTGAAATGTCTGATGGACATCCTTTTTCGTCAATCAAAGTGAACTCAGATGCATCAACACCGTCATCAGCAATAACTTCACGTACAAATATCTCATATGGACCTTTGAATTGGAAAGAACATACAAATTATTATTTTAATATTCCCGATAAAATGTTGATTATTTAAAACAATTCAACCACCATAAATCAGATCAATAAATTAATTTATATTTCGACTTGAAAGCACTTACTAGTATCATCTGGTATCTCAAATCTCAAAGATAATTGATCTCCAACTTCAGCTGATTTAATATCATTTCCATCTCGATCAGTTATTCTCATAGTAACTGTGGGAGAAGTGACCGTTGCTTCTTGGATAGGTGGTCTTAAACTTTCCTTTTCAGACATGTATTCATTCAAATTGTCACTATAAAAGACATGAAATGAGAATTAGTTTTAATCATTCAAATTTTCCACAATAATCTAAACACATACCCCATGTCTTGTAGTTGAATGTTGTGCACCACCTTTTTATTTGATAAATCGTATTGGCAATTAATGGAAAGTCCAATATCATTACTAGTAACAATTAATTCATGGTGTTGGATGACAATATTATTACTGTAAAGACCAGAAGCCGATTGCATTATTCCACAATTGATATCATTATAAGGCATTGCTATATCAAAATCATATTGACGTTTAATTAAATTGTAACAGGAATTAGGTTTTGACGTAGCGTAAATTTTTCCAGTAAAAGGTCGATTCATCTTAATCTTGACTTTCATTTCCCGAGCACCGCAATGTAAACTCACTAAAATTAAAATAAACCAAGAAAATTGTATCAATCATATATTGATTATCGTAAAAACTAATTAAAGCTAAAAAACTCACCATTATAACAATTATCAAGTTCATAAGTTGCTCCATTAGCAACTTCTAGGTAAGGATCTTGAATATGCACAGAAGAAGCTTGATTAAGATGACTAGTTCGACAGACTTTATTAGATCCATCGCCAAAATCAAATGAGTGGCAACGATAAGGTGATTCTAAGCATTTACGTTTACAATCTTCAACCGAAGTAACATCAGGATACATCGAATCCACCGTTTTCAGGATGAGTCCGTTGATTTTCTTGAATTCACAAACTTTTCCTTGTCCTGTTTAAAAAAATACGTTATGCAGAGATTAATTTGATCATTAACTTTTTTTTGTCCCATCAAAATTCATCAGTTTCAGATTAACTTACCTGGAATACAATTATTCTCAAGATAATCAAAATTGGGATCCGTTTGAAGTCCGCTTTCAACATCATCAAGTAAAAGGGTTGAGACAGAGTGACGGTCATGATCGAGTAAGTAACAGTCACCAGAAACTGTATTGTAATTGACTGCTTTACACTCAAAATCAGTTTCCCGAAGACAAGATTCAATGCATTTTTCCCTGGTTGAAGCACTTCCAATCCTACGAGCTTCACTTTTCAATTTATAGCCAATTACTCTTTCATAGACCCAAGCCTTGTTACATTTATTAATCGCATATCCTAAATATAAATACAAATCAATGTTAGTATTGAAAGATTCAAAATCATAATTTGTAAAATTTCACCCTTAATCCTTTCAATTTCAATGAATCAACTTGAGTAAATTGTACACAATACAATATTAAATCCAAGACTTGTCCTGATCGCAGTTTTGATTGAGTAATCATTAACCATTGATTAAGCTTGATTTACTCTCAATAATACCTTTGATTTATTGTTTAGCTTTACGATTCCTAGAAAGTTATCATGATTGATCACAAAATAAGTAATTTTTAATATCAATGCTAACTTAATCTTTCAAACCTCATACACTCAAAAGAAAAATAACAATCTTTGAAGACGAAAAACACGTTTTTATACCCTTAAATAGCTTTTAATTTTGATTTAAAAAAATATTTAAAAGTAAATTTGTTGGCCCAGTCTTGCGTGAAAATTTCTCCAAAGATTTATCTCTCATGCATTCATTCATTTACGATCCTAAATAATATATTAACAAGGCCTTATTGACTTCATAATGATCTGATTATTGAAGAGCATCAATTTTTTGTGTCATCACTTTTTAGTCTCAATAATCATAATGACTTTTGGATTTGATTTTAACACAAAAACACTTTCAAAGTTGATTGTTATACTGAACCTCTTAAAAATCTGACCGTAGATTACACAGGTGTTTATTAGATTGAGCTGATAATTGGATCAGAAATATTGGATAACTACAATATTTGGTTAACAAAAGTGTGAATTAAGTGATTCAGACTATTATATTTCTATTCAATTATGAATTCAATTTCATTTTATAAGATCTAACTTAAAAAGTACCTTAAAATGATGATAATAATTTCTGGTTCAATAGATCCCCAAGCCATTCATCCAAAAGTCAAGAAATTAACATTGACTAACCTTTAATAACGTCTAAACGCATATCTATAAGATTTTTTTCACCTGGTATAACCTGTTGAAAATGACGCTACTTCAATTTTGAAAGGTTTGAAATGTCAAAATATTTTTTTGTGTTTTCTTGCGTCGTTGCTTATTTTATATCATCTTGAAACTTGGATTCATTGAAATTTGTAGATGAAAGGTGTAAGGTGTAAGGTGTACTATTAAGAGCAAGCTAAAAAACTCACTTTGTAGGCAAACTTTTTCAGCATAGATAGTGAAAACTGGAAATTGAGCTGGCTTTAGAGCTTCAGGCCTTTGTGTTGCTCCAGTCGAGAGTAGTACACATAATCCTGTTTCATAGTTGATCGCTTTACATGAGTTATTTAATTGGCAATAAGTTAAACATTGAGTAAGCTCCAAGGAACCAGGAATAAGTCTCATTAAATCTGATGAAGTTGTATAAGCATAACCAGTAACCAATTCGAACCCAGGAACACCATTTCGACAAGCTATTAACAGAGATAAGAATAGAGAAACAGATTATTAGATTCAGATTTCTGCAAATATTTAACATTGACATTCACCAAGATGATCACAAGTTATCAAAACACCTGTACAGCCATTTGATAGCAAAGAGCAAAAGGAACCTGGAAAATATTTTCGTTATTTGACGGTTTAATTTAACGCTTCAGATCATTTTGTTGATCAACTAAAACCAAATTAAGAGGATTCCATTGAAGGACCAATCTGACCGCTTTATCATTAAATCGACCATTAAAACCAAGTAACCGATATACCATTATCATTGGGTTTATTTCTCAATAGCAAAATAAGGAAGATTGATTTGGTAGCGTCAATAAAAGCGTTAACTTTAACCAGTTGATTTCACTATTTGATCGCCTACAATCAGATGGTATCCAATGTATAATAATAATGTAATAATATGATTATCCATCAAAAATAAATGTACAGTTGAATCACTTAAAAAATCAATTGAAATAAAATCACTAAATTAATCACCGAAATAAGGATTGGGAAAAAAGGATTCACTAACCAAAAAGAAAGATAACGATAATATCAGATATCTTAACCCATCTCCCTCTTGAATAAAGCAAGGTTGGGCGGGAATGGATTTAATGGATTACAATAGGTTATATCAGAGGTTAAGATTGTTGTTGAACTCATGTTAACATGGTTAGTCATCAAAGGGAAAATGTAAATTAAATTTTGTGGTAAGTTGACCAGGAAGAGTTGAAAAATTTGAATAGGAACACTGAATTGGAACCAATAACTTAACGGTTAAGCTAATTTAATCAGTTAACATTTCAGTTGCCTTTGTTGGAATAACCACTTTCACCTTAAGTTACAACGGTTAATGCATTTTTAAACAGCTAGATAGGCATAACGAAAGAAAGAGAAAGAGAAACTGAGGGAAAAAAGTGAAGAATATTCATGAAGAAAAATAACCGTTTTTAGCTTATAACATCTTCTAGAAGGGAAAAGTTAAACCCTTAATTATCATTGATAGAGCATATCTTCAAGATTATCAGTCGTCAAATCATCCGGACCAAGTCTGTCCTTCTGTGAAACTGTAATATGTCAGCAAAAAACAAAACTGTTTCCTATTTTGTTCATTTTTGTGAATTTCCATGCTTCCATTATTTTGTTTCTTCCTAAAAATACTCAACTTTGACATGTCAACCTGCTGCTTTTTCCTGTACCACCATTGTTGAAATTTAATCAATCAATTGTTCATCATCTCCAGGCCTTCAGCTTTGGCTATTCTCATGTTTTTAACATAATTCAGGTAATGTTTAACATATTTTATACTTTTCTGGTTTAACCCTATTTTAGGCTTTATCGTTACAGTTTTCCTTCAGTTTTATCCATTTTTAGGCGATGTGAAAGCTCATTGAAATATTGAAATTTTCTTATCCTAACTATTGAGTTGGTCTCTATTCAGATTCAACCCATTATTTCCCATAACTTAATATTTATTATTAACTGATACAATATGTATGAGCATTAGGATCAGATTATAAAAAAGCATAACTACTTCCGCATTTTTATTCAAAAAATTGATCAAATCAACAATAGCTCATAAGTTTCAATATTGAATTGTCATGAAGCAACAGGTTATAAAGAAGCAATCATCTTCAGTTTCTTGCTTTAAATTTAAATGGACGGTTGTGTAAAATTGAACCAATAATCAGATGAACAAGAAAAAAATTTACCTAGTGAATTGCATATTAACAAGAAAATTTCAGCAGCAATCATCATTTTGATGAGCCTGAAAATTATGTTAGTAGTAAAGTCGTGATGATCATGACTTGTGTTGGTCTCCTTATTATTCAATTGTTGGCCATCTTATCAACTTAAAAATGGTAAAATTCAAATCAATTGAACCTCTAAAGGATTAAGGTTAAGATTGGTCAAGTTTGAGCATCAAAAGGTTGAATAATAATGGATAATTGTCATGAGAATCAGGTGTAAACAAAGAAAAGGAGTTTCCAAAGAAAAATGATTTTTCTATGCAAATTAATTTTCTCAATGGCACAACTCTAAGTGAATCTGATTCAATTTCAATCAAGTAAATTTTAGGCTTGGTTTTTTGCTGTTCATCCTCTTCATCGTTGCCTCATCCTTTTGCTAGTCTAAGGGAATCTCATCAATCTGTCATCTTACATGTTCTCACAGAATTGTATCATCTAGTCTGAAACTATTAACTTTGGGTCTCACTTTCACGCTTTGATGGTTAAGGTCACTCATCTGAGAATTAAAAGTTGATGAAAAACAGAGAATGAGAATGAAGATCGAGATTGAAACAAAATCACTGACTTTTTACTTATTTTTTCACATTTACTCCTCATTCTGCAGATATTTCTCTCTATGATTAACGGAACCGGACATTTCTCCAGCCAGCCACTCAAGCGATACTGGACATCACCAGATGGCCAACAGTTAATATTAAATGGGTGGACAACATGAACTATTAAAATTTGGAGACACAAAAAATTGTTGACACTTTCTGTTGACAACAAACTTCACTTTCCTTGAAGCTGGCGGGCGACATGAAAAAAAACAGACTTGAGGTCATGTAATCTTGAGATTAATATTATTACTATTATTATCTGATCTTGAATTACTAAATCAAATTCTGTTACTGTTGTATCAAGTGTGTCTATGAGATAAAGTAAGTGATAAACCTGAAAGTAAATTCAATTTTTCTGAAACTAATCAATATTTTCTTTTTGCTTCATCTAACAATTAATTTCACATTTTTCCACAGAAAAGTCTCACAGTTTCCAATCAATCCACGTTAATTAAACAACCGCAAAGGTAGGTAATGAATTATTGATAATGACTTGATCTAATCTTGCTATTTTGACTCTTATTTTACAGATCTTGATTAGGATTGATTGAATCAAGTCGAGTGTTGGGGAACAACGTTGTTAAATGATCAGCAAAAACC